CAGGAACTCAGGTAAAAGCTACTGTGCAGACATCTGAATGTTCAGGGCTCTCAATTTTTCATCCTCAAAAGGTAGTATAATTATTTAAGACTCATACCACTTTGGGAAAGAATGCCTGTCTAGTTTATCATCAAAAGAAGAAAACCCTTAGAGGTCACATGTTGGGGCACAACGTGTATTTTAAAATGAAAGTAAACTCCATGCACCTGGGTTGTCCAAGAGTTAGACTTGAAAGGAACAATCTAAAAAGTGATCATTTTTACTTTTACAGCAGAAATAATTTTGAAATACTGTAGTGAGGGATCTTTCGCAAATCTATTCCTTTCTATAGTTTATATGAAAAGTTCCATTTGTTACCATGACTTTTAAAAATACGAATAAAAAGAAGATGGGAAAGCTATTTATTGTGTAGTGTTAGCCCACCAACACAAAGGTATATTTAAGAGGGCATACAATGATAAGAGTAGTACCATTGTGTGGCAGTGTGAATTACAGAGTAATATATGAATGAATACATTCTCACTGGAAAAGAAATAAGCCAGTGGTATGTATATAAAATAAATCAGGAACATCGACCAATCTACCTCTGAAACAGTTTGGAGGGTCACTTTTTAGTCCATTTCTATGCATTTTATAAATACAATATACATATATGCTCTCCCTCATGCAAGCTCTCCCTTAAGCAGAAATGGTCTCACCCCACAATCATTGTTCTATAACTCATGTTTTTGTGTTAAACAGTTTATCTGAGGAGTCACATTTCTTAAACCTTTCCTTTATGTCTTTTGGGTTTTGCCTCTTATTTCAGAAGTTCTTCCTGTACCCCACTGGGTATTCCAATGGATTTTTAAAGTGAGGGCATAAACATTCATCTGTGGTTGGACGGACTGGGCAGGCATTTAGAACATGACCATCTGCTGGCCCAGAGGTGGGGTAAAGACAGTGACTGTCTTGATCAGGGCTCTGTGCCAACACGTCTCTGGTTTCTCATAGGTGCTCCTTAGAGCTTCACCTCTCCTTGGCCCCTCCCACTTCCTGCCCAGCCTTGTCTTCCCTCCTGGTCATCACTCTTTTTGCTTTCCAGGGGACAACAGTGGTTTCCAGGTAAGTGGAGGGGGCCCATGGAGGGTAAAGGGGGATGGGTGGGTTCTAAAAACATTTTTCTTTTTTGTATGTGAGGAGAGTGGGTCTGGGTCTGTGTTCAGATGTGAGGGTATAGGCAACTGAAGTGAGAAGTAACCTCCAATTTTCTGCTAATTCAGTTCAGAGAAGTCAAGGGGAAAACTATTTCTTGTGCTTTGGAAATTTGATCAAGCATCAACATTTTGATAAATGGTCAAAACTGGTCAGTGATCTAAATCTCCTTTATCTTAAAGACCAAAAGAAAAGGAATGGCAAAAGCTGATGAGAAGGTGTGGTCAAATTTTGAACATTTAGTTACCAATTACCTAGTTTATATTAGCCAAATTTTTTTTCTACCTTCTACTTTCTATTGCCTTTCCCCCCAACCCTTGCTGCCTTTTAGCCCTTCCTAGCACCTTAAGATGGACAGGGGAGAGAAAAAGAGATGGTATTTCAAGCAATCAATTTTTCCACTACAATGGAATCATATCTTATGTGAGGGGTTAATTTCCAAAGGAAGAACATAAGGTCAAAATCATATGCAGTCAAAATTATCTTTGAAAGGTTCTTTGATGGGCCATAAGACCTGGGATATACCCACTTATGTTTTGGTTTTGTTTGTTTGTTTGTTTGTTTGTTTTTGCCTATGGCATTGAAACAGGTATGTTTCTTCAACTGAGCACTAGATAAAATAATTGATTTGAACAGGTGAAGGGAAAATAAGTACCTTTAAACTCTAGACTGATGTTCTGTGTGGTGAGATCAAGACCAGCTACATAATTTGCAAGGTCCAGTGAAAAATGAAAATGTGGGCTCTTCATTGAAAATTATGAAGAATTTCAAGATGGCAGCAGCAGAGCATTAAATTGAGTATAGGGCTCTTCCAAGTGTAGGGCCTTGTATACCTGCTCAGTTTGCAAACCAATGGAGCCAGCCCTTGGTAAGAAGCTTGGAATGTAATCAGAAGCTTGGAAACTGAGATCAACTCAGGAAGAGAAGCCTCACAACTCCCATAGAGAGAACAGGGGGCAAAATCACTGCCAGTATTTAAGTTATTCTGTTGTGCTCCCTGCACCCTGTCCCATCTGAGGCCATATAGTCGAATTTATACTGTGCTAAATCAGCACGAGATGCAGCTCCACTCTATAAGTTAAATGGTTGAGAGGTTGCAAATTACATTAGGGGATCTTCTGATTTTTTTCAAGGGCTCATTATAATTTAAAACTCAGATTTATGATGTGTAAAAAGAAAATAAGTATTTCTAGTTCTTCACCTGGCAATAATTTTGATCAGCCCTTCGTCATGCATGTGCCAAAGGCAATAGAACAAATTTAGACTACTGCATAATTTATAGTAAGCAAACTGCATTACTGTGAATTTTCTAAGTGGTTCAGAAAGGAAAGTTAGAAAAATTAGGTGTGAAAATAAATAAAAAAGCTTACTTACTAAAGAGTTTGCCTTTTAGACATTTTCCCCAAAAGGTCATGAACACAATCTGAGCAAGGAAGGTTTTATTCTATGACTGCCTGAGCTCTCTGAGCAAGAATGCGATACAAGGCTCATTTTTTAGGGGAACTGCCTAATTTTCTTTGGTACTATATTTTTCAAAGTGGTTTTTTATAAACAAGCCAGACTCAGGGCGGTTGGCCAGTTAATTGACCAAAAAGTTTCCAGATAGCAAGTTATTTAATGTCAAAGTAACAGTTGATGGTGTTTCCAGGATATTTTCTCTCCCCAGCATGGGTCACTGATGTTACCCCACTTGTGCCTCCACCTTAAGGTTCTCACCCCAGCACATGCTGAAACTTGACTCATCTGCTTTGAAAAAAAAAAAAGTTGCTTCCTTGTGGTTTTGAGAGTTACATATTTGAGCTTTGAAATAAGTGCCATGCCTAGGGTCAGGCCGCTGGTCACCCAGGTAGACTGGACAACTTTCCTGAGTCATGCTCACCTGTTCCAAGTTATGTAATAACACAAAAACAATACTTAACAAGTGCGTATAAAGCTAACAAAAAGAAGCAAAGCTGCAATGTGTCATTGTCACAGTGTCCAAAAGTTGGAGGGATATTTTTGGTTAATCCTTCTATTGTGGAGTTTTTAGGGTGGTGATGACAGTTGAGTGGTGGTTGTTATTTGGCAAGAATCGAAATTGGAGGCTTCTGTTACCCTGACTGCTGATTCCAACAAACAATAGAAACCAGGGCAGGCTCACAGGAAAGAACCTTTGGGTGGCAACAGCATTTTATCCTTAATCTCTTGGTTTGTATCAAGTTGTATATATTAGAAGGGAGGAGAGAGTGGCATAAGGAGACACAAATACAAATTTATAGAGCTCAGCAGCCAAGTTTGTTCAGAGTGATTTGCCTGATAGTTTCAATAACTAACACTGACTAGTGTTTACTGTGTACAGCTGTAAGCCCTTCAGATGCTTTATCTCATTCCATCCTCACCATAACCCAATGAGATAGTTATCATTGGTTATCCATTGACCAAGATCTGCTGGGTAGTTAATGTCAGAGCCAGGGCTGAACCCCAGACAAGTCTGAATTATTCCATCTAGGATGACTGGCTTTCTATCCACCTTTAAAATGTTGCCTGTCTGGTTTATTCTAGAACCAATTTTGCCTCCACAATTCAGACATGGTTTCAGCACGAAATAGAAATACTTCAGCCTATACAAAATTCACTTAACATTCCTGCATGAAATTTTCTCCCAAACAATGCCAATTTACAGAAGATACAGTGGTTTTTATGTGTGCGGCTAGGGAATGGTGTTTCTGTACATCCGCAAGATACACATCCACAAGAGCTGAACAGAACCCACCCTAGGGCTGCTTATTTACATTAACCAATGTTGAAACTTCTCCCGCAGAGAGGTGCTGCCCAGAACTTCAGAGGAAGTGAGATGTTTTATCTTTTGCATGCACACGAAGTTTACAGTTGACGTCTTCAGACAACCTGGGAGGGTGTGACTCCCAGGAGCTAATCTTTCAGTCCAGCCATATGCAAATCTGGGCCGATGTTTCTGTGGAGGTGCAGACAGAAACGTAGGTGACAAGGTTGGTTGCTGGCGCACGTGGGAACGCACCTGCCCCGTTGTGTGTTGTCTGTTGGGTTGTGTCTGTGCGGACGGCGTAATAGTGGGCACCCCATTTGGATCGCCCCGCCTAGATGAGGGGTGTTCCAGTAGTAGAAGGTCCACCTGCAGCCTGGGAGCTTGTACCATTATCCACCGTGCCGCGCCTCGGAAGCCCAAGCCAGGCCAGCGCTTCACCAGCCCCACCACAAATGGATCCGCTCGCAGCCTCGTCCCGCCCCCAACGCCCCCGCTCCGCCCCAGACCCCCCAACACCCCCTCCTTACTCGGCTCCGCCCCCCAGCGCCTGACAGCCCCGCCTCCAACGCCGGGCTCTCCCAGCGGCACGGCTGCCCCAGTTCCGTAAACACTTTTCTCCCCGCCCCTAGCAGTCCCCGGACCGCACTACTCGAAACCCACGGGGGGGGGGTAGTTTCCTCTCG